AGCCTGTTTCTTTCTAGAAGCATTCTGTCCCCAGAGGTGTGTTTCTGTGGGCAGCCTGCAGCCAGTCACACTGACAGCAGAGATTAAATACCATGCATGGTTTAATTTTTATAACACAGACATACACATCCTTATATGTGAATTATAATATTATACATGGTCTATGTAATAGACTAAATTGGTATCAGTGTACTCATTTGTTATTGGTAACTGAGACAGCTGTTATTATTTGCATAGGATTATAGGTGAGAATTTACCAAATGATGACTGTAAGCATGTAGATACCCATGTTCAGGCTGGAGTGTCTAACCAACATGACATCACCCAGTGGCAAGAAGGCTCAAATTGTGTCAGAATAAAAGCAAGTACCTCTCCCACCACCTGACAAATCTGCTATGGCAGAAGTAACTTACAGAGCCTGCTGTAGGAAAAAACACTGAACTACTTCTCAAGGAATGTTCCACTAAGCCCTGCATGCAAGCCAGGTGGGCCTTTAAAATGTAAGGTTTCTGTCCGGTTGGTTGTCTGGTTTGGTGTTCATTTTGTTTTGACATTGTTTGCTTTACCTTTCTGAGCAAGGGGCTTTCTGTATACCCCTTGCTGGCCTCATCATCCCCTCAGCGATTCCTCCTGTGTTCACTTCCTGAGTGCACCACCACACTCAGCTAGAATGTAGCTTTCATAACTCACCCAGACACTGAAATTTGGTATCTTGGCATCAAGCCTTTCAACAGGCTTCTCAGGTGAGTCTGATGCAATACACTTGAGGACAGAATGACTTGACAAAACTGCCAGTGTGGCCATGTCACTGATTTGCTCAAGCTCTTAGTTACTTCTATAAAGCCACAGAAGCCAACTGAAAATACCTAGTTAAGGCCACTTTCACGTTCACACCTCCTGGTCTCTAGTTTCCTCTCTCTATTGAATTCTGTGTACTGGAAATTCTAGCAATAGGGAACTGAATTTGGCTTTGTGAGCCAGAGCTGGGGGCTTCCTGCCCCCTTGTCTGTACTTACAACATCCAGTCACCCTCAGCTGTCTGGAATGCTTAGGTTTTCCCTCAATTTGAATTTGGATGTCTTTCCTCCTTCTAGCAGAGTCTCACTATATATTCCTAGGTGTCCTAGAACTCCCTATGTAAACAGGCCTCAACTCACAGAGAATTTCCTGCCTCTGGCCTCTGAGTGCTGGGATAAAAGGCATGCTCCATCATGACTAGCAATGGAATGCTGTTTTCTGTTTTGTTTTGTTTTGTTTATTTCGTTTTCTTCCCTTTTTATTTTCTGTTTCTATTTTTGAGACAGGGTCTCTTTATATTGCCCTGGCTGTTCTGGAACTCCGTATGTAGACAAGGATGTGCTCAACTCACAGAGCTCCTCCACCTGCTTCTCAAGTTCTGGAGTTAAGGCCTTCACCACCATGCTGGTATTTGTGATTTTTATAAATAGGCCTCAGTGTGTCAACACGCAGGCCTCAAACTTGCTATAAAGCTGAAGAAGACCTCGAATTTCTGATCCTCCTGCCTCCACCTCCCCAGAGCTGGGATTACAGGCAAGCATTGCCACACTCAGTTTCTGCTGTGATGGAGATGAGATCCAGAGTTTCCTGTACACTGGGAAAACTCTCTGCCAACTGAGCTACATCTCTAGCTCCTGAATGCTCTTTCTTGCTCCCTCCTTTGTTACACGCTCTGGCTGAAGTCAGCATCCACATTCTTTTCATAGATTCTGATCACTGGTGTGTACTGTATTATAAAGGTTTGCTTTTCTCTTTGGGGGGCAGGGCATTTCAAGACAGGGTTTCTCTGTGTAGCCCTGGCTGTCCTGACACTCGCTCTGTAGACCAGGCTGGCCTCAAACTCACGGAGATCCACCTCCTGAGTGTTGGAATTAGAGGTGTACACCACTACTGCCCAGCTACAGCTGTTATTTTCTCAAACTGCTTATCTATGAGAAATGAGAGCCTTGGGGACAGGAAAGAGGTGTCAGTTTTGGTGTAAACCACAGGACTAACAGAACAGATTACGCAAGAGAAAAAGGAAGTGTTGGTAAAATGCTTCAGGCTGTCAAGACGGGAGATAAAGAGGAAGTGCATCTCCAGCTATGAGCAAGGTGCTAGGAAGGCTGGGATTCCATCTAAAGGGAGGGCCTGAGGGTAAAAGGCACACGATGAGTGGCACACTCCAAAGTCACAGTGCCTCATGGGAACAGTCACAGACATACACTGCATCGCCTTTACCACCAGGGTCCACAGTAACCAGTCAAAAGCATCTCTCAACTTCAGAGATGAAGAAAGGAATCCACCCAAAGAAGAGGGCAGTTAAGAGGTGAAGAGGTTCTCATGGCCAAAGCCAGTAGCTGTCTACTCCTTAGTTTATCCTACTTTCCTTCCTATTGCTCTGATAAAATATTCTAACCAAAAGCAACTTATGGAAGGGAAACATTTATTAGGTTTAACTTCCAGGTCATAGTCCATTATTGAGGGGAGTCAGGGAAGGAACCCTAAGCAGGAGCCTGAAGCAGAAACTATGGAGGACTGCTGTTTTCTGGCTCACTCCCAGGCTCATGCTCAGGTAGCTTTCTTCTATAGCTGAGGACCACCTGCCTGAAGAGAGGTGCTGCCTATGGTGGGCTATGCTCTCCTACATAGATAAACAACCAAGACAACTTCTAAAGACAATTCCTCAGTTACTTTCTAGGCTGGTCGAGTTGGCACTTGATGCTAACTAACTAGACCACCCCTTTTCCTGCCCCTGGTGACTAGTGATGTATCTGACACAAAGTAGCCTTCCTCATTAAATACCTGCACAATGAGTAAAGTCAAAGACAGAACATGTGTTTAACTCTACCTGGTAGGCTTCACTGTTCTTTGCATCCATTTACTTTTAACAAAAATTCTACCTGCAAAAATTGCCCATTGCTGGTGTAGTAGTGTCATGCTTGTTCTTGGGTTAACCAAGTGATTTCTGATTGGATTTCAGGCCTGGTCAAAAGGAGATAATACATGCTGGATACTGTAAGCATATTCATTAGCCTGTGGCTAAGCCCAGGCATGTTGGTGGATATTCCTTTACACCATATGAATATATGTCACTGTGATTGATTTAATAGAGATGCTGACTGGTCAATAGCTGAACAGAATAGGTTAGACAGGAGAGACAGATTAGGAAAATGTGGGGAGGAAGAAGGGTGAGTCTGGAGTTGCCAGCCAGATGCAGAGGGAGCAGGAGGTGAGCGTGCCATGCTAATAAAGGTACCACACCACCATGTGGTAGAGTATAAATAAGGAATATGGATTCATTTAAAATGTGAAAGCTATTTAGTAATAAGCCTGAGCTATTGGCTGAGCATTTACAATTAATATAAGCCTCAATGTAGTTGAGAGCGATTGTGGGTCAGGAAAACTCCATTTGCTTTGGTGCTTGTCTTTAATTCCAGCATTCAGGAGGAAGAGGCAGGCAGATCTCTGGGACTTCAAGGCCAGTCTGGTCTACATAGTGAGCTTCAGGCTAACCAGGGCTACATTGTAAGACCTATTTCCAAAACCAACAGCAACCAAAACAAAAACTATGCAAAGGGAGCTGAGTTACAGCTTAATGGTAGAGTGTTAGCTTAAGAGACAAAGCCCAGCACCATAAAATTAAACAACATAAAATAAAATTGAAAGTGTCAGCTGGGCATGGTTGTGCATACCTTTTACTCCAGCAAAGGCAGATGAGTTTGAGGCCAGCCTGGTCTACAAAGCAAATTCCAGGACAGCCGGGACTATTACACAGAGAAACCCTGTCTTGAAAAGAGAGAAAAAAAATTAAAAGTCAAAAAAAGAAACACAAAAAGGTAAAGAGTGGGAGAAACTTGAAGACCAAGAGAGTTTAATGCATTACATATTTTGTAGTATTCCATATAGTTCACAGCATATTGTGTATCTGTCTATAGAACTGCATTAATCTATTACTCTCTCCAACCTCTGTTTTCCCTCCTAGCTCAATCTCCTATGTGCTGTTATTATAGGCGTGCCCCACCATATGCAGGTATGAGTTTTATTTTGTTCTTCACTTTTTCATTTACATCACTGGGAAACAAACCTGCACATCAAACAAGACAGGCAAGCACACCACCACTGAATTACATCTAAAATAGTGGTATGTTTTTGATATGGTCTCATTCCATAGCCCCGAATGTTCTGGAATTCACTGTGTTGCCCAGGCTGCCCTGAAACTTTCGATAATTGTCTTTACTCGGCCTCCTAAGTGCTGAACTTAAAGGCATCAGCCATGATATCTAGCTTGTCTGTTTTGGAAACACAGCCGAGTTCGAATGCAGCCCAGGCTGGCCTCGAACTCACAGCAATCCTCCTGCCTGACTGCTGGCTGGCACTGTATTTGTACGCCACCAAGTGGGGCTCTGATCAGCAAACTTTCCACTGTCCTCCCCGGCCCCCAGCTGTCTATCCCTTCCTGATTAAAGTATTGAGTCAATCACCAAAATGGTCATAGGTCGGCTCTGAGGCTTATTAAGATACCAACTTGGAGACTAGATAGTCATCCTGTCTCCAGTGGGTGTTCTCAAACTGCACTTTGCAGAATTCTGAGTGC